GACGCAGGGAACACTTTATGTTTGCAAACCACCCAATCCGAATCGCACAAAGTGCGGCTGCAGGGTTTGACAGGCTCACTCCTGCCCGGATTTGAGTAACCCCGGTCCTGACAACTCATAGCTATACCACCCTGACTCGCAGAGGCTTCTTCGTGAGGGAAAAGGAAAAAACCAAGCGTCAGTAAAGGTTTCTAACAACCACAACAAAAAACTCACTGCCATCTGTCGATGGCGACTTCTAGCGACTCTATATATCGGGCAGGGCAAAACTCCTGTGAGTTTCCGAGAAGGTAACTCTATGGAAGTAGCAAGCCTCCTCTTTCTCCCACCGAACTGGGTGATGACTTTGAGCTGCACCCCTTGAGGTTAGCAGCCCAAAGGCATAACCACTGGGCCACCAGTGACTGTAGTTCACCGAAACCTTGGAATCCGAGTCAGCTTCATGACGTGCATTTGCCCTCACTTGTCTCAATCTGAAGAGCATTTGTAAATCAGATGTGCCCAACTTTAAAAGATGTGTTTGAGGATCCTTTCAAGTCCCGGGCTTAGGTGTTCGTTGTAGAGCAAAATGCACAAGAAGATTTAAACATTCATCGACAGGTAGGTTTCCTAGGGGATAAGAATACTTCGGAAACGTAATTATACATCGTGTTGTCTTGTTATTGTTTTCTGAAGGGCAAGTGTCCAGAGGATGGCTGGGACGAAAGCACACAGGAACTCTTTCTCCAAGAGCTCGCCATCATGGACAGCAACAATTTCCTGGGCAATTGTGGTGTGGGAGAAAGGGAAGGGAGAGTGGCCTCCTCTTTAGTTGCTCGTCGCCATTACAGGTGTGTTTTCAGTACTGTTACATTGTTAGGTGCCACCGAATGGGCTCTGACACAGGGGACCCCTGGGAGCAACAAGAGTGAAAGACTGCCCAGTCCTGCCCCACCATCGCGATTGCTGTTGGAGCCCCATTGTTGCAGCCACCGTGTCATGTCATCTCATTGAGGGTCTTCATCTTACTCGCTTGACCTTCCGCTTGATCAAAATCGATGTCCCTTCCCAGGGAGAGAATGGGTGTCCAAAGTGGGGGAGGCTCAGTGTTGCCGTCCTAGCTGCTAAGGACTATTCTGATTGCACGTCTTCCAAGGCGGATTTGTTTATTCCGTGATGCATTTGATAAGCTTTCTTTATTCATCGTCCAGTTTTCACACGCATGTGGGGGGATTGAAAATAGCCCTGGTTTGGGTCAGGTGTACTTTTGATCTCAGAGTTACAGCCAACCGCAAGGTCTGTCATTCGACTCCACCAGACAGTCGGAGGGAGAACGATGAGTCTGTCTCCTTCTTTCAAGATTTGCCATCTCAGAAACCCTAGGAAGCAGTTCTGCTCTGCCCAGTAGGGTCACTGAGAGTCAGAATTGACGTGATGGCAGTTGGTTGGTTTTAGTATAAGCTGGTGACCCTCTCACGCGCCAGAACCAGGCAGTGAACAACACTGGGTATACGTCCTGTTAAGAATGTTTAATAAACCAAGCCCACTGCCTTCGAGTTGATTCCAACTCATTGTAAACAGCAGGACAGAAGAGAACTGTCCCCTGCGTTTCAAAGGCTGTGACTCTTAATGGTGACAGATCGCCCCATTTTTCTCTCACAGAGCAGCTGGTGGGTTCCAACCGCCAACCAACCTCTCTCTCAGCAGCCGTGTGGTTAATCGCTGCCACTAGGGCTCCTTTTGGTTGTAGTAGATGTAAGAAAGGGTCTGTTAAATTTAATGTGCGCTTGCCAAGCCACTTTTCTCCTTGCGTGTTATTTCAGAAAGCATCTCATCAATTCTCATAGTCATTTGTTATTGGTTCCAAATATGCTAATTTATTTCTCTGTCTGCCAACGTTTCTGTGAAATATAGACCCTTTTGAGAACCCTGTCTTCCATGATTTTAAATCAAGATACCGTAGATGCTATTTCAGCCAAAACCATTGCAGTCAAACTAGTCATCATAAAAGAGGGTTTGAAAATATTATGATAATGAGTGGGCTGCTACCAAGCCTGCTTACACATGCAAAGAAATGCCTTGGACATGTGACGTTTTGGGCACTTATGAAGTACAGTTAATAGTGTTCTGTGATAACGAGTACATAGGGTTTCTCCTCTTATTATAAATTACCAACGTGGATTCACAGGACAGAAGGATTTTTGATTTTGAAGAGTGTTCACAGGCATCCTTGGTGTGTGTTGTTGTTAGGTGCCACTGAGCCAGCTCCAACTCATAGTGACCCTGTGTCCACAGGAGAAAGCACTGCCAGCTCCTGCGCCATCCCCACAAAGGGGCTCGAGCCCATTGTTGCAGCCACTGTCTCAGTCCACGCGTCGGGTCTGTTGCATGTACAACCCCCCCCCACTATCACACTCAACTGCCATTGAGTTGACTCCAACTCTCAAGGGTCCCACAACACAGTCTAGAACTATCCCTCTGGGTTTCATAGGTTGTTAAGTGTTTATGGGAGTAGAAAGCCTTATCTCCCAAGGGGGGCTAGTGGATTCAAACTGCTGACCTTGCAGTTAGGTTTGAAGCCCAGCACATCACCCACTGTGACACCAGGGTTCCTTTCATGCATAGTATCGTCTGTGTTAACCTGAGTGGATTTTCACACGTTTTCAAGGAGTGTATAGTCCTTCTAAGATATTAATTGATGCTATTTGAAATTTTAACATATTTGCAGTATTGAAACATCAATACTGGACAGGTTAGGAACGCATAGCAACCCTATAGGGCTGAGTAGAACTGCCCCCGTGGGTTTGTGAGACTGAAACTCTTTATTGGGAGTAGCAAGCTTCATCTTTCTCCTGTGGAGCAGCTGGTGGTTTTGAAATCCTGACCCTTCAGTTAGCAGCCTTACGTGTCACCACTGTGCCAACCAGGGCTCTCAATGTATAGCATCATCTAAGTTAACATAAGTGGATTCGCACACATTTTCTAGGCGTTTATGGCCCGCTTAATAATAAAGTTCTTTGAAAATTTAACATATTTGCCATATTTGATACATCATTGCTTCCCACTGATACTCTGTTTTAGCCCCCTACTCCGGTTAGGGCAAAAGAAAAGGAAAAAGCCATGCTACATACATTGTAGTTTTCCATTGCTGTGTAGCAAACCACTGTAACCACATATTATTTTGTCTTTGCTCTGTGGGGTGACTCAGCAGTGTGGCACTCTGGTTCTCATGTCATCATCGCAGTGTGCTGTGGGCCGAGAGTATAGTCATGTGAAAGTTCACGTGGACCATTCATCCAGGATGACGCATTCCTGTGGCTCACTGATGGCCTCTTCATGTGGCTTGGGCTTCCCTCCGCCTGACAGCCGGATTCTGTGAAGGAGCCCTAAGAACATGCCCATCAAGAGGTCAGCAGGAACCTCTAAGGAGTCTTCGGACCTAAATTCGGAACTTGGGCACTACCGTTTATGCTAGACCCACCTGGCCAAAAAAGTCTCAGGCCAGCCCAGGTGCAAGTGGAGGAAAGTTAGACTCCATCTTTTGGCGTGAGAGTAGCGCGGGAGTGTAGGGAGGAGACTTTAACAGCATATTCTATGGCAGTGGTTCTCAATCTTTGTAATGCTGTGACCCCGTGACCCTTTAATACAGTTCCTCATGTTGTGCCCCCTCCCCCCAATTATTTTTGTTGCTACTTCATAACTGTACTTTTGCTTCTGTAATGAATTGGGCGACCTCTGTGAAAGGGTCGGTTGACTCCCAAAGGGTTTGTGACCCACAGGTTGAGAACTGCTGCTCTATGGGGCTTTGATTTTAGTGGGCTGTTTTCAGATTCTGACTGTGGTTGAGTTGGCCCTGAGTCACGGTGACCCCATAGGACAGAGGAACTGCCCCTCTGCGTTTCCTAGGCTGTGATTTTATCTGGGAGCTGATCACCAGGTCTCTTCTCTGGTAGGGAGGCTGGTGGTGCTTCAAACTGCCGGTCTTTCACTCGTATTGTGCCAGCAGGGCTCCTTAGACGAGTGAGAGCCGATGAAATCTCCTGGAACAACTCAAGTGTCACTGTGCTCTTTGGTTCTTGCATACCTGCAGGGTTTGCTGGGAACAGTGAGTGTGTGTCCAGTTACTGGCCCATTTTCTGCTTAGGTTCATTCATGGAATTGGACGATCGGGTGACATCGCTGCTGTGCAACCCAAAGCCGCGGGCTCTAGCCTTTTGAACAAAATTACCAATTCTTTAGTACTGGACATCATAAAGTTGGCTGGTATGTACCATATTAACCGTCATACTTTTGGCCCACTAGCCCTACACGCCTCTGCCTATTTCCTTTTATTCACCTCTCTGTCCAGGAAGGAACTGAGTAGGTTTTGAGAAGACAAGCATAGACCAAGATTCTCAGGGAAACATGGAAGTCAGCTGTGAGCCCATCGTGAGGCAGCATAGAAAAGGAAGCGGAAGGACAACCCTTCTTACCATGTGTCTGAAGAAGGGTACCGTTTCTTTAAGTGGAATAACTGGTTCGTGTTTTCTTCACTCCTAGGTGTGCAAACAGTGGCTAACTGCTTTGTTGTACCAATGGCAACCGGCATGAGCCTAACCCTGTGCTTCTTAACCTTACGGCACAAGAGACCGAGAGCAAAGTATATTCTATGGCCACGGATAGACCAGAAGTCCTGCTTTAAATCCATGGTCACTGCAGGTAAAAGGAGACACGAGTCAGCAGATAATGTTTTCAATGTCACAGCTAGATGTGTCAAACTTTTTATATAAAGCTGACAATGACAATGGTTTGAAACCTGTTTTCTGCCCTTTAACATGAGAAATGTTATTGGTTACCTTACCAGATTGTTCAGAGGATTAAATTGGATGACAGGGAAATGTTATCCAGGGACCAGTAGTCCCTGGAGCATAAAAGGTGCTTCAACTGTATTTGGCGCGCGCGCGCGCGTGTGTGTGTGTGTGTGTGTGTGTGTGTGTGTGTGTGTGTGTGTGTAGGATACAACACAAATTATTCTAGTGGATCAAAGAATAAGGATATAGATAAAGCATAAATGAGACAAAGCTTTCAATTGTTATTTCAGTATCTTGTCTTGTTAAGCCAAGGCTAGGTTATACATTTGAGGATTTAAGCTGTTTTTTAATAACTTTAGTATGAACTATAATGTGAACAGTATTGGACTATATATAAATTAAAGGCTATATGTAAATTAAATCATCTTAAAGAAATTCATGTAAAGGGATTCATTGAAGAGTATATAATAGCAACTGATGGGCTTTGAAAATATACATCACTAACTTAGTTATTTAAGTGGTATAAAGCTGTCCATTTTATTAATTTGTATCTTTTTAATCCAAGAATTGAAATCAACACTTAGGGAAAAGATTGCCATATTGAAGAACTGAAAACTCTTTTTCCAAAATGTTAAGATTTGGATTGTAATTTAGAGTTTACTCTTTAAGGATAATCGGTAGTCATAGGACGCAAGATAGTTGTATCCCTATAAAAGACTTGCATCTTTATTGTTGGGGAGCAAAACTAGATGGGACCTAAAAATTATTGAAGATTTGTTCTGTGAACTTTCACCCAAACCACAATGAAAATAAGAGAAAAGCTTCACAATTGAAAGATAAGGGGAGTGTTTCACAGTACCCATATTATCACTTACAATAAAACCACAGCATGAATGCAGGAAGATAAAAAGGGTTGAGCCTAGGGAATTTGAGAAATAATTGAAAATTAGTTGTTAGGGATTAGTTTTGCTTGCTTGTTTTCATAACTGAAGGTAGAGAAGTGAAACTTAGCTATCTCTGAATCAGTCTATCTGAAAAGGTAGCAGTTGATATTTTTAAATCAGTTTAAACCAGTTTCAAGGGAACTGGTCACGGTTTTATATTTCTCTATATGGAACTGAGACAACTAGATGGGAATTCTAAAGCAATCGAAGGAAACTCGTTGCCTTTAGCTTTGTTTTACATCGCTGACTGACCTTGGGAAGCCCTCTGTCTGAAATGAGTTAAGCTAAATTGATTTTAGGTCCCTTATATCTTAAATCCATGAATTTAGCAGGTTGCTTTGGTATTTGAGAAAGCTGAAGATCTGATTACAGAAAAAGCTTATGTGTAAAGAAGACTTCAGGGAATACTGTGCTTTTAAGCGTAAGGTATAACGATTGTCCCAAGTTGATAGTTGGAGAGTTCGTCCATCCTGGATTCTATGGGGAATTTGAAGTCCTGCTGTACAATTCCCTCCCCTTTGATCCCTAGGCTTCTGTAGAATTGTTGATCAAAACATTAATGGTAGCCAGGCACGGTTCAGCTCTGGTCTCTTGGACAAATTGCTGCAACTTGAAAGGGTAGATGAGAAATTTGGAGGCAATAAGTTAATGTTGGTGGAATAACTTTCAAAGGAGAGAATGGTTGTATAACGTGAAGAATATGGCACCTGAATTGTATTTGTAGAAATTGTTGAAATGCTGTTTCTTTCCACGATAAAATAGAATTAAAAAAACCAAACTTTGTGTGCAATCTGTACCAAGTTTATTTCCTATCTAGTGTGTCACACTTGCATATTAAGATCTAACTTCTGAGTATTCATATCACAAAGTGCTTTGTTATTTAACTACTTTATACATTATTTAGTGGACATATTAATTTAGAAACTTCAGTTTTGAGACAGCTAAATATTTATTATAAAAGGGTGCATAATTGTTACTTGGGGGACGGGTTATGTGCTAGTTAAGGGAACTGTTTCATTGAAAATTTGAAAGCAGTTTGTATATTTAAATCATTGAAAATCTATAAGCTATGGGCCCTTGATCCTTAGGCTACTGGAATTCAGTACATGCGTTTTAGAAGTGAAACATGAAGTTGATGAGTATGATTTGTTTCACTTTTTCAATTTCGCTATTTCCAAAATACAGTGGACTTTAAAATATATAAATATCTTCAGAAAATGAGCAAGCCTCCTTTTCTGTCGACTGAAATTGAATTGGACTCTGGTCCTTTTTCCTTATCAAAGTCTATGTTAGTACTTATAGGTATTTATTTAGCATTTGCCGTCTTTCCCAGAATGATTCCCGTATCTGAGTGTTGACTGACCTGTGGCCCTGATTGTGGTCTAGTTGACCTTTCCATTACTTTTCCTGGCTTTGGCATTCCCAGCCTTGAGCCGGGTCGTTCTCACTGGAGGAGACGGCATGTGGCTCTATCAGTACTTAGAGCTCTTGTCTGGACTGGACTTGCTTCCGTGAGCTGCAGCCTCTTTCCCGGTGCTCACCTGCACTGATCTGTTGGGTGTGCTTGGCTTGGCTAGGTTTTGAGCCCGTGGTGATAGAGAACGTCCGAGACGGGGACGAGCTGCGCACTGACCTCAGCGCAGTGGAGGCTGCGATCCAGGAACTCGGGCCGGATCACGTTCTGTGCATTCATTCTACTACTTCCTGTTTCGCTCCAAGGGTGCCTGACAGGTAAATGATTTACGAATATTGTCTTTTAGATGTGCAGCAAATTAACAGGTATGTTAATTTCCAAATATGCTTAAGTAACATTTGGTAGTAAACAGGTGCGATAAGCAGCATGGGAAGCAGCCACTGGCTGCCCTGTTGCCATGAGGTGGGGTCAGACATGCCTCCTTCTCCATTTTTCTTTACCTGCTGTGACACCAACTGTTCCTTCCAGGCACTCTGCTTCTGTGCTGGGTTCGGTAATTCTTTGCAATGGCCACACAACTCAGAAAATATTCACAATGATGGGGAGTCATTTTGGAGAATAATAGGTTACCACAAGTCAGGATCAGTAAACAGTAAGGATACAGGTATTGGTCCACAGGAACGCCTTCTCTCAGCCAGCAACCAATTCTCTCTGGTCTTCAGCCTCTCGGCTACAGGATCCATTGGCCTCTTCCTTCCTGGATCAGGAAGCCCACCTGTTACTCTGTCTCATGGAGTCCTTCAGTCTCCGTGCAGAGTCTCTGGTGCCTCAGGGCTCAGCCTCCACCACTCAGACAGAGAGCTGGTGCATGCTCGTCCAACGATCCCGGGCTTTCTCTTTCCATCCAAGATGGTTCTTGCACACAGAGGAATGGCTTTGTTGGAGGTCTGTTTTTTGCCTTAGCAGACCAGTACCCATAAGTAAACAAAGGATGGTGACTTACGTCTAAGCCTCTAGTAGAGTCTAAATGTCCGTCCCACCTTAATTCTGTAACAGGAAGCACCGTCCCAAAAGGGAATCATAACTGCAGGCATAGAGTCCAGAATTGTCATACATTACATAGGGAATTATGGCTAGAAGGACCATGTTAATTGATTACATCTCAGTAGGTGAATGGGCTGTCCTAGGGGAATGGATTGTTAAATATTATCGAGAGTTGGTTCTGACCCATAGGGACCCAGTGTCCTCATAATTGCTATGCTGAGGCCCCTTGTTGCAGCCACTGTCAGTCCATCTCATTGAGGGTATGTCCCTTCTCCCTGTCCTTTACTTTATTAAGCGTGGTCTTCTTCTCCAGGCACGGGTTTCTCCTGGTAACGTGTCCACAGTACATGGAACCAGATCTTAGCCATTCTCCCTTCTAAGGAGCATTCTGGTTGTATTTCCTCAGAGATAGATTTGGTTGTTCTTCTGGAAGTCTGTGGTACTTAAGTATTCTTTGCCAACACCATGATTCAAAGGCATCGATTCTTCTGCAGCCCTCCTTGTTCACTGCCCAACTTTTACATGCACATAAGTCAATTGAAAGTACCGTAGCTTGGGTCAGTTGCACCGTAATCCTTAAAGTGACCTCTTTGCTCTTCAACACTTTTAAGGAATCTTGAGTAGCAATTTGAGTATGATGAAAGGTTAACCTCTGTGCACACCTTTACTGATTATAAACCTTTTTAAGCCTTAGAAGATAATAGATTAACCTATGGAAAATAATACATTGGATTGGGAAAATGAAATTTTGAGAGCAAAGAGTATTAGGTGTCGTCGAGGTGGTTCCAGCTCACATTGACCGTGTGTACGACGGTGAAACTGCGCTATCCTCATGGTTGTTCTTAAGTTTGAGCTCATTGTTGCAGCCAGGGTGTCTGTCCGTCTTGTCAAAGGTCTTCCTCTGCCTCTCTACCAAGTCTGATGTCCTTCTCCAGGGACTGGTCTTCTGGCAACATGACTGAAGTACATGGATGAAGTCTCAAACCATCCTGGCCTCTAAGGAGCATTCTGGCTGTACTTCCAGGACAGATGTGCGTGTTCTTTGGACCGTAAATGCCAGAGAGCCTTTTGTCACCGATGTACATGCAGCCCATTTCTGTTTTCTTGTTCTTTTTTTTTTTCATGTGTCATTTTTATTATTAATTGGGATTTAATACACATATCATTCCAAATTTCAATCATGTCAAGGAGAATGTTCAATTGCTACCACATTTTCTGTGTTTTCTCATTCTTTATCCTGCTTTGGATCTGTTCATCTTTTCTTCACCTCATTATTTACTAGAAATTTATTTCTTGAGCTAAATAGTAGACTTACTGGGTTTCACCGTTATCGCCACTTCTGTTACCTTACAGGTAGTTTTCATGTAGAATTAATCAGTTGTAGCATATTTGGAATGAAAAATTTTAGGATTAATAACTTTCCTATGAAAATTTTTTTTATTGAAAAATTAACTCAGAGGTACACAGTGACTGCCTTTGAAAGATCAACACAAATGTTGTTCAAACAAGCACAAAAGATTAAAATACAAATACAGTATTTACTCTTCTAAGTGATGACAGCTATAATTGCTATTCTGCAAATGTCATAGATTAGGCCAGTAATACAAATTTCTAGTTTTGACAACTCTGTTTGATTTGGCTTCATTTTAGCATTTTGAACAAAACTGTTAATAGTTTGTAAAAACTCCATCCATGAGGCATAAAGTTCCACTTTGGCTTTAATTCATGGACTCTTACAATTTGGCAGAAATGAGTGCATGTTAGCTTTTATTAACTCATAGACAAATTTTAAAAGACAATTTTAAAACCATGCTCTTGAAAATTGCTTTGTGGATATATTCTTGTGGAAAAGAAATTTTACTGCTCAAAATGCTTTCCTCCAAGTTCTTTACATTGTAGAAAGAATGAGTTTTAAAAACTAATTTCACCCTGAGAGCTCATTTTCGTTCCGTGCCCTGAAGACATTGCTCTTTCAGATGCCCTCTGTCCGGAGTAGTGTTTGGTTTGGTTTGGGGTAGGCCACCTGTTAACTTTGCTCTCATTGAAATGTGTTGCCTTACTTTGCATAAAGTCAGACGCTCCAAGACTTTCTATAGGAAGGTTCTCAAATGAAAACTGAAGTGGATTTAGAACCAGAAACTACTGAAGAAATTCTCTTCAGCATTTCTGTTGCCGAAAAAGCATTAAAGTTATTTTGGTACTAAAAAAATCTTAATGTTACATAACTTTTAATGCATTTTAATGCATAAAGAATGTTGGAAAATGCATTTTTTATAGTTATGTGCTCATGTTTAATGTGTAATTTTTAAGGTTTCTGGATATGCTAATTATTTTGCAGACATTAGCTGTATCATGGTAAACAGCCAAAACCATTTAAAATGAGCATCTCACCTTGCAAGAGGGTCCTTACAAGTAATCTACTTTGGGTTGTTTATCGTGGACCTTTTACAGTGATTTAAAAGCTACTGTATACATGATTTTGTTTAGATATATACCTCATTAAGTGGCACCATTAAGTGCTTTTAAGATATTTATTCTAAAGTTCCTGATAAGGAAGTCTGAATCTCTTGTGTTCGTCCTCTTTTCCCTGGTGTACTATTAAATAAAAAGTTCTACAGTGTGATTGCTAAGGCTGGCACACGCGGCTCTGTGGTGCATCTTTATGTTTCTAGGTTGGAAGAGTTGGCGGTGATGTGTGCGCGGTATGACATTCCACACATAGTCAACAACGCTTACGGCATGCAGGCCTCCAAGTGCATGCACCTCATCCAGCAGGTAAGGGATTTAGAAAGGTGTGTCGGAAAAGGGGGTTTAGTGTTTCTCAGGCTTATCTCTTAATTCAGTAAAAATAGTGAGCTGATGCTTTTTCCTTAGGAGAACATTGGAAATCTGCTTCTATCAGCCTCTGGGTGGCAGTCCTCATTCTGCGGTAGCACGGGGGGAGTTCCACTCCTGGCGTGGGTTGTCCATAGTCACCACAGACTCCAGTCCCTTCGTTTTCAACTTCATGAGAATGATTCATCACTAGGAGCCTCGTTTCCTAGCATACTGTAGTATTGCTTTAGTCCATATTTAATATTTAAGGAGCCACTTTATCTTATTATCCTAGACCACAAATGTCTTTATTTGTAAACACTCAGGTTTGGTCTCTGTGTGATTTGTGTTACGGGGATACCAGGTATCCACAGCATATCCATGGCCTTCTCCAGTGTGATGACGTGGACCCTAGCTAGTAAAATGGTTTGTTTTGAGTGTGCTGCTAACATCTTAAGGAGTTCTGGTGGCTTAGTGATTAAGCACTTGTCTGCAAATCAAAAGGTTGGCAGTTTGAACCCATCAGCTGTAGGCAGTCTGCTGTTGGCTTCTGTAAAGATTCTGTACACAGTTACAGTCTTGGAAACCCACAGGGGCAATTCTACTCTTTCCCATAAGATCGCTATCAGTTAGCTCATTGACATCAGGGAGTATCATCTTTGATATATGCTTGGTTGTGTTTGATATATGTATGACTTATATGATAGTAATAGATGATTTGCTTACTTCTCTGAATCAGAGGTTTTGTTTGTTAGACTGTATCAGAACTTGGTGTCATTGAATTGATTCCAACTTAGAGTGAGCCAATAGGGCAGGGTAGAACTTCCCCTGTGGGTTTCCAAGACTAACTGTTTATGGGAGTAGAAAGCCCCATCTTTCTCCCTTGGAGCTGGCAGGTGGTTCAAAACCTGCTGAATGTGTACCAACTACGCCACAATAAATAACAACCAACCAAAACAGCCTAACCCATTGGCATCAAGTCAATTTTAACTCATAGTGACCCTCTAGGACAAAGTAGAACTGCCTCTGTGAGTTTTTGAGACTGTAACTTTTTTCTTAATAGTTTTATTGGCATATAAGTCACATAACATAATCATTCAGTCATATTAACAAGAATTGTTCAATCATCACTACAATCAAATTCAGAACATTTTCTTTTCATTCTTAATGTTGTTAGCTCCCCATTTCCCCAGCCTCCTCCTGCCATGCCCTTTAGGGAATTATCAATCCAGTTACAGTGTGTATAGGTTTACCTATTTGCATTTCATATACAGAAAATTGGACAAAACACAAACAGGAAGAAAATTAACAAAAATGGACAACAATAACAAGATAAACCTCAGTGGAAAAGCACGCAGAAAATATTAAAAACTGAAACATCTTTAACACAGGTCACAGGGAGATCAAATGATAGTTGTTACATTTTAATCTAACGCCATCTGCCTTAATTGACTCTACAGTTCCATCTGTCTGATGGCGGGGCTGTTCACATCCATACACTATGGTCAGAGGAGATTCCCCGTTTGAGAACCCTGCAAATACATTTTGGGCTTCCGCTGTCTTCCATAACCTTATGCAAACCAGGTGCTCAGAATGTAAACTCTGATACAATTCCCTCAGTTTGGTTTAGATTTTGTTATTTGCAATTCTTGGCTCACACGGTGGCTAAATTAGTGAACTTGGTGGCATAGTGGTTAAGAGTTGGGGCTGCTAACTGCAAGGTCCGCAGTTCAAAACCACTAGCCGCTGTGTGAGAGCATGATGACGCTTGCTACTCCCATAAAGAATTACTGTCTTGGAAACCCACAGGGACAGTTCTACCTTGTCCTACAGTGTTGCTGTGCGTCGGCAGCGACTTGATGGCAGTGGGTTTGAGATCCCCTCAGAGCAGCTGGGGGCTTCCAGCTGCTGACCTTGTGGGTGACAGCCCGACTTGTAACCACTTCTCCACCGGGCTCCTTAAAACCAAATGCATACTTGATTGTTGTTGAGGGGTAGTTGCTGCCCGTGTTGTCTAAAATATTAGCGCTGGCTGTGCCCGCAGTCATGGAGGTGATTCTGGTTTGTGCTCCACATGGTTTTCTTGGCTATTCCATTGATGGGAACCCACTGCCAGGTCTCTCTTTCGTGGCACTGCTGGGTGGTATTGAACCACCAATTGCTACGTCATTGGTCAAGCTCAGAGTGTTCAGGCCCCTGGTGAGCCAAGAAGTTCATCTCAGTGTCCTTGCTACTAATCGCCACCATTTAATAAGTACATCTGCCTGGCATCTGGCTCGGTTTTTAAAGGTCATTAACTCTAACTCTATGAGATGTGCCTCTTTTGTCCCCTTTCTCCCTTGAAAGAAGCTAGTGTGGTAAACGGACTTTCTCAAAGCCACTGCACACAACATAGTATATCTTGTTCAGGGCGACTCAACCCTGGTGTTGTCCTTTGAAAAACAAAGTACCGAAACCACAAGGGCTTTTTTTGTTTTTGTTTTTTTTAAATGAGAAAATGGTGTTGCAATAAGCATGCAGGTAGTGAAGGAAGGCCTGTAATAGATGGTGTCAGACTTTCCTTTTTTGAAGTGAGTTGACCTTACTCGATGCCGAGCAAGTAGAACACTCTGGGCCCCCCTGTCAGGTCCCCACCCAGACATGAAGAGTGCGGGGTCTTCTTGGCCCAGGGATGTTGGGACAGACTTGGGGAGGCTGAGGTCATGGACATGTCTATGAGACATTCTTTCGACAACAGAGTGGACTAACCCTAGAACAAGGCATGGCAGATTATGGTACTCCATGTGTGTTCTGGGAAGGAACCAGTGGGTAAATACAGTGAACCCTC